CAGTAATACCAAACTTTTGGAAGTAACTCACTACCGGAGAACGACCCGTCCACAATTTAAACGGTACTTCACCATTCAAACTTCGAGACGGACATCTATTTCTGATATGATTCGCCGTTAAAATTGCTTCTGCCCAGAAACCTCCTGATAATCTCGACTGTATCAACATACATCTTGCCATTTCCACAAGAGTTCGGTTCTGCCTTTTAGCGACACCATTTTGTTGTGGCGTGTATTCCACTGAAAATTCATGTCTGATACCCTCTTCCTTCAGAAAATTTTCTAACGTTTTACATATGTATTCGGTTCCGTTGTCTGAGCGTAAAGTTTTAATTTTTTCTTCCTTTCTGTTTTTCTACTAAATGTTTGTATTCCCTAAATTTTCCGGCCACTTCATTTTTATGTTTCAAAAAATATACCTCACACCATTTCTTTCACACTTCTTCTTGTTCTCAAAAGCTATTTCTATAGACGTATCCTTCCAATACTCTTCATCAATAAAATCTGTATAATTTTCTTCCTCAACAAAATTATTATCGAATATAACATCACGGCTTCGAAAAATTTTCTTTAATTCTGGACACCATAGCCTGTAAGCTTTAGACTGTGTGGAATAACCGATGAACACACATCTCCGTGATTTCGGCTCAAATTTATTTTTGTTTCCCTTCTTGTCCAACAGTAATACCAAACTTTTGGAAGTAACTCACTACCGGAGAACGACCCGTCCACAATTTAAACGGTACTTCACCATTCAAACTTCGAGACGGACATCTATTTCTGATATGATTCGCCGTTAAAATTGCTTCTGCCCAGAAACCTCCTGATAATCTCGACTGTATCAACATACATCTTGCCATTTCCACAAGAGTTCGGTTCTGCCTTTTAGCGACACCATTTTGTTGTGGCGTGTATTCCACTGAAAATTCATGTCTGATACCCTCTTCCTTCAGAAAATTTTCTAACGTTTTACATATGTATTCGGTTCCGTTGTCTGAGCGTAAAGTTTTAATTTTT